TTTTATTGCCTACAATAATAATTTTAAAAATCATTCCTATTAAAAAAACGATCTAAATATCAGCCTTATCACATCCCTTGAATCAAAGTTCAAATCAAAGTTCTATAGATTTTATACTATATACTAAAGTCAAAAGGGAAATGAATAATTCATAACTACAATAATTTTTAATTCTACTATCATCTATTGCCTATATCTATTCCTTTATACAAATAGGAGGATCTAAGAATAACTGTTCATGCCACAGTAAATTGAACAGTATTTGATTGTGGAGCCCACTTATTTCACTGACATATTTCCCTTACAGAGAAATAGATTTGGGAATTCAAATCTCTGCTAAAATTTTGAAATTCAAATCTCTGCTGAAAAAATCCAAAAACGCTAGATTTGGGAATTCAAATCTCTGCTAAAATTTTGAAATTCAAATCTCTGCTGAAAAAATCCAAAAACGCTAAAATCATTATCCCTCCGTCACGATAAAATTTTGAAATTCAAATCTCTGCTGAAAAAATCCAAAAACGCTAAAATCATTATCCCTCCGTCACGAGCCCTTTGAAGCCCACTCCTCTTCAATCTCTTTCGAAAAAAACCCTAAAAGTGGAACCTTAAGTCTCCCTCGATCTCTTAATCAATGGCAGCGTCCGCTTTCAAATCGACGTCGAGGCGGTCCTCCCTTGCCCCCGGCGACGATCGTCGAACAGAGTCGCCGAAGCTCCACCAGAGAAGTTCCCCTCCTCTCTTCGTCATCATCAACGGCCACCATTCTCAGACCCATTTCTTGATCTGGAAGTCTCAATTAATCAGCAAGAAAAGGGGGGCAATGGAGAAAAATCAAAGCAAGAGGAAGACGAGTCCATCTCTCGCAAATCTCTGCATCGAATCTGCGAGGTCCTGCAGAGAGATCGTCGAGACATGGCGACGTCAGAAGCGAACCCTGGATCGCCTCCCCTCCCACCTCGCCGACGCCCTCTTACGCCGCCTCCGCCACCGCCACCTCCTCTACCCATCCCTCGAGTCCGGTCAAAACTCTAACCCTAACTTTTTTTTATTTTGGAACTTTTCTGTTGGAATTTGTGAAATTTATTTTGGACCTTTTCTGTATAGTGATCCAATATATCTTCCGCCGCCGTTGCCTAGGCATTTGAGAAATCTTCTTTATTTTGTTCAAATCTGATCCGAGGTATTTCTTTTTTTTGGTTTAATTATTAATAGGTAATAATTATTATGATGACAACATCCTAATGACGTGCGTGATGGAATCAGTGATTGAGAGTATCGATCAATTTCAGGTGATGGTTTTTACTATGATTTTTGCTTAATTTCTTGATTTTAATAAATTTTATTGTTGAACATGTTTATAATTTTGATGTTCACCATGTATTTTAAATGAGGATCAGAAACTTTAAAATTTACTTATCTATAATATTGTTAATGATAGTTTCCTGTTATTTATACTTTTGTAATGTTGGGTATTTCATTATGATATTGGTCTATTTTGCTATTACCTTAGTATTCGCGTATCACAATTATTTTTTACATCTTGCTTTCTAGGCTTTAGATGCAAATGTAATCTGATTCAAGAAAAATAAGGCAAAAGATGTAGTGTTTCATAATGGTATTTCATAATAATATCATGAAAATTTATCTGGTAAAAATGAAAGTTTCTTTGTTATATTACTTTTGTATTTTGCTGTGGTGTTTCCTCAAATTGGTCCACAATTAGTTTCTCTTCCATGTTGCATTTTGCTATTAACATTGGATTAGTGATTTGCAAGATACACTGTCTTATAGTGATCATGTACTTGGTTGATAGTTTTATTACAAAATAAGTTTCTGTGTATATTCATAATAAAGCACTTATAACTCTAATGTACTTGGTTGGTAGTTTTATTACAAAAATAAGCTTCTGTGTACATTCATAATAATGCACTTATAACTCTAATCTTTAAGTAGAAAATCTAATAAGATATCAGATCTACTTGCTAAGTGTTTTCTTAGTCTTAAGACTCTTACTTGTGCTTTGATCAGTGTAGTGTTAGATTCAACTCATTAGACTTACATGACTTCTGTTAACTAGAATTTTGATACCCAGATGATGCATTGTATGCTTCTCTTTGATCCCTTCATAAGCATGACAATGTTCTATGTTCTTTATGGCTTGCATTTTTTAGAAGCTTTGTAGCAGGTATGAGAATCAATCATGAATATATCGCAAGACCCAACTCCAACATCAAAGTAATGCATATGCATGGTTGAAACAATTTCAGCTAATAGTGTTAAATACTGAAAGCGGGTGAATCATAGGAAATTGCCATGAATTCTAACCTTTTTTTTCAAATCTTATGCTTCCTTTAATGCAAAAACCATCATCAACTTACTCAAAAACCTTTTAATAGACTATCATGATGCATCATCTTTCCTCCTCCATTCTCAGGCCAATCGAGATTAGGGTAGTGTTTTGCCTCTAAATAAACATGAGACCTAACCGCATTTCCACATCCATCTATATATTGAATAGAAATAATATATCTTAGTTTACTTAGGAACTACAATAAACTGGTTTATTTCAGGTTCTTTTACTTATATCCCCCCCCCCCTCCTTTTCTAATTTCAGGTTTTAAAGATTTTATAATCTGGTTTGGTTATTTTACAAGCTGTCTTCCTTTTTCTAATTTTCAGATGAGAATGGAAGAACCAATCAGGTATCAACTTCTTTTACGGTTAAATTATTACACACTTGAACTAAATTTGTTAATTATTACACATTTTTAAAAGTCATTATATTTGTCTCCATATCCTTTATTATTATTTTTCAATACATTATTGGATCATTTCAAATGCTTATTTTTATGTATGCCGGTAAGTTCTCTTGGCTTTATTGATTATTATTTTCAACTGGTCATTCTTCAATTGCCATACTTGAATTCGTTATATCAAGTGAAGTTGAACGCTGTCCCCAAGTCTCAAATTGCTGGTCTATATAGAATAAAGGATTCCACGAACCATCAAAATAGGTTGATCTCACAATTTAATCATTGTGTTAGATTTCTTTAAATTTTTTTAGACTCGAAGGTTTTGTTGAGGGGAAATAAACCTAATGTTAAATGTTTCTTCCCAAGTGGTTCTTACAGGTTGATGTTATCCAATCACAATTCATTATATTTTGTTTACTAATTGGTTGTTACAATTTGTATATTCAGTTACTAAGTAGCTATGTGAGTTAGTGATTGAGAGATAACTGTTGGAGTTGTATTTAAGTCTTCTTCTGAAATCTGTAATAATATTAGTAGTGCTTCTAGCTTTTTAGGAACTATGAAATGCTATTTCTCACGTAAATGTTGCCACTGCAACTCAAAATTTGTGTTATAAATTAGTATAATTGTGAAGACTGTAATGTGAATTGTAATTTGCCATTCTTTCTCTTATTTACTATAAGAACTGTATAACTATTCTCTGTAAGAATTTTCAAAGTATGTCTTTATAGAAACCAGTCTTTTATTTTCAGATTTGTTGATTGACCTTCACAAATTGCTCATAATTCTCTATCTTAAGATTTCCTCTTTGAAAAGAAGAAAACTACAGGTACTTTCTCTGATTTCATTTTGTTAGGGTTTTTTGCATAAAAAGTTCTTTTTTTAGTTAGTTTCTACAGGAATTGATTAAAATATAAACCATGATGATGAATTTGATCTAAATTTTAATTTTTTGCGCCTTAGATTGTTGGTTTTTGGATTATTTAGTTACTTCTTTTAGCATGGTGAAGATGCTAATTTCTATTTATAATGATTAAATTTGATTTAGCTAATCTTAATAGTTCCAATGAATAAATTTCACAATTATTACCTAACAATCTGTTAAGAATGCATAAATTCCAACTTCATTGTTAGCTCCAATGAAGTTTCTTCTTTTACAGTATACATTTGCAATTTTATCAATGGTATTTTATAAGTAGAATTTTTTTCAAGATAAAATGCATTAATAATTCATCAAGGTATCTTATAGATTTTTCGAGTTGTTATTGAGTATACAATAGATGCTGTAGTAGTAGAAAGTAAAGGATTCTACACAACGATAACAATTCAGACATCAATTATAAAGTTCTAGCTACAAGTTCGACCAATTTCTTACCTTATGAGTTGTTATTGGAGTTTTAAAAAGATCCTACAAGTATGACATTCATCATTTTTTTCCTGATATGTTGGTATTAAATGAATTTTTTGCTGTTACATATTTCTTTTTTATTGAATAAAGTGATTGAATAATCATCTATCATAAATGTGATTTCCCTTGAGTTTGTTGTGTTTACGAATATGATATGTACCTTTAGACACAAGAGAATGCAGGATCCTGCTCACTCAAACTTGGTCTAATTATTAAGATATCCAAGGTAAAAGTCTTTTGATGCATATTTTACGAATTTAGGATACTATAAAAGGGATAATTTAGTTGTAGAAAGGCGTTGAGGAGTTCTAGAATCTAAAGGGGTACCAAATAGCAAGATAAAAAGATGTGATGCAACTTTATTAGCATGACCATGTGAAGAACTGATAATGTAGAGCATTACTGGCCTAGAAATCCTGGGAGTAACCATTTTCCTTTGCAAATCTAAATTTGGATCTGAGTAACAATTTTCATTAACATTGAATGGTTTTCATTTAAACTCTATGTGAATACAAATTTATTTTCATTAACTATTGTGCCTTCAATAAATGTATTCTCCTTCCAACTTCCCACCAACATTCACTTTCATTTAAAGTCTCAAATAGAACTATTTTTGGTTAATCCCGTCCTTGAGAAGATCCTTTGCCTAATTTCTTCTTTTTCCATTGTCAATTTAAAGGTTAGTGCTAATCAAATACAGTTGATTGTTAATCCATGCTTTAGTTCTAATCAATGTCTTATCATGAGGCTAAATTGTGTTAATCAATGCTTTATTGCAATATATTCCTTGCTTTTTTCAAACTTCTCAATGCTTCGCGCACAACAAATCAGGTAAAAAAATGGCACTGGCTCTAAATCTTAGCCTCTTTCTGTTATTTTCTATGGGCATTAAACAATTATATGTCAAAGCACTTCTGAAATTGACGTATAGTTCCATTTTTTCTACATTGTATAGTATACATATTGACATCCACTTACAGTTTCACTTAATTTTTATGGAGTTATAGGTTTTAGGAGTTCAGAGTGGTTATCTCCAAATGGGCCAACTAATAGAGGGATCGCGTGAAATTTACCCTAGTTTTTGAAATAAGTTGCACCAAAATTTGTTGCTTTCACCTCTGATTTTATACATAAATCCAAGAAAATAGGGGCATTATTTTCTGGTGGCTTATTTCAGGTTATAAATGTCAATAGCGATGAGTTGATCCTGGAAGCTTTCAAGCTCATGAAAGAAAATCAAATAGGTGGCCTTCCAGTTACAGAAGGTCCTACCAGAAAGATTGTCGGAAATGTGAGCATGCGTGATATCAGATTCCTGTTGCTCAAGCCTGAACTTTTCTCTAATTTCAGGTATTGATATTAACGTGTTGTGAAATTTACAATTTAGTTCTGTTGATACAAAATTAGAACAGGCTAACCCAAAATTTTGACTTTAGGCTCTCCTTGGGTAAATGAAATTTGCTGAAGTAAATTTGGCAATGGATTACTTGTTACATTGCTATATTTCTGTGTTAGTTGGAAACAATGACTAAAATTGAGGATACAATAGTTTCACAAATATTTCTTTTGGACATGAAGTTACTCCAAATAGATGGATCGAGGCAAGGGAGAATATAGTTTTTGACGTTTAATCTAGCTTTCTTTCATGGATATAAAGTTGTTAATGGTTTACAAACTTATATGAATAACATTCCTTTCTGAAATAAACATGGAACCTTTCCACTTGCATGCAAAAGATCAAAACTATCATGTGCCAGCTTGGATTAAACATGGCCTTTTTAACAGATAAATGGAGTAAATATGTAGATATAGTTTTTCTTAAAGCTTTTTTTGATACCCCAAAGTATTTTGTGATGCTTTGATACTCCAAACTTTCAATCCTATTTCACTTTGATACCTCCATCAAATATTGTAAGATTTTCTATTAAATTTATACACATGCTTGGCACGTGATATCTCCGTCCATTGTCATTGGGGAAATTTAGTTGCTGGTATTGTAGCAACTGGGTAAAACTGACCTATATGTAATGCAAATTTAACAAAAAATCTAATAAAATCGGGCGTAGGTATCAAAGCGAAATAGAATTAAAATTTTTGGGGTATCAAAAAGTGTTAACTCTATTTTCTTTTTGGTGTTAACTCTTTTTTTTTTTAAGTTTAAAAAAAGGTTAAACCTTGGGGGTACCAGAGTGAAAATAACCCTTCATTAATTGTGCCTACCATTCCGGAATCTAGATATTTTATATTTAATTATACTCTTGCAGCCAGCTCACCGTGCTTGAGTTCTTAAAGGCCATAGGCCCGACGAATCCAATATCAGGGAGCAAATATATGGCACCCCCAATAACATGTTCAACTGATGCTTGCCTTGAGAGCGTGATAGAGAGCTTGGCGATCAAAATGGTTCACCGGATCTATGTTGTAGATGGCAACATGAGCGTTATCGGTGTCGTAACTCTCAGAGATGTGATATCCTGCTTCATTTATGAACCCCCTGACCATTTCGATAACTATCTTGGGTTCGCGATTGAGGAGATGCTGAACTCAAGTTGACATTCTTTCAGTGTTCTAGAACTTTTGTTTTTGATCATAAACGTTGCTTATTTATGTTTGCATGTTTCAAGCTAAGGTATTTCTGATGTTTATTGAACCTGTCTATGAGGTTTTTGTAGATCTTAGTTGTCAAAATCAGTTGCTTTGCTTAGTTATTTTGAGTTGTGGATGAATGTAAGAAAGGGCATGAATGTCTGTACATCTTTCAGCATGCTGTTGATGCTTAATGATTTTGTTTTGTGTTCGCTTTCATCACACACAGTTATGCATCAACCAGTGGCTAACCAATGTAGGGGCCAGGGGGCCTTGGCCCCACCTTGAAAATAAATAAAAAAATCAAGGGCCTATTGGATAATAGTTCCATAAGTCTAAAATGTAAGCTCACTTTTCTGAAAATTCCTCTCTAATGAAGGAGAATCACCAACAGTGGACATTGAATCAAATGGATGAGGATTGAGAGTTGATTTGGGTTCTCTGGACTTGGGTTCAGTCTCAGAGAAACTAATAAAGAAAGGAAACACTGTTATTTTTGGGATTTTGATCCATTTTTCATCTTGTGAATAGTACGGCTGTTTGGTGCTTCGGCATAATAATGTTTGGTGTTTTGCGGATAGAAATGAGCACCAACCGCTCATGGGACATTTGAAAATCTTCGGTTTCTATATGGTTATTTAGATACTAGTCCCTCAGATATTCAATAGTTTCACATCAGCCCCTCATATTTTAGGAATTGCTCATTAGTCCCTCAAATAATAAGGGTGTTTGCAATTCGATCCCTCAATCTTTTATTACAATGAAAATCATAGTTATGTATAATAATAATGTACTCTTATCTATACTAAAACTTTAAAAATCCAAAACTAGGATTTAAAACCAAACCATTATCTAAACTTACTACAGTTCAAACTTCAAAATAACTCTATTTTAAATGATGCTGATAGCTCAATCTACTCAAATATCCTAACTAAAATCATAAAACTGTTTCAAGAAATGAAGTCAAGAAGAATATCATTGTAAGCACTATATTCGAATTTTTTTATTTTGAAAGTCTTGCTATGTAATAATGTTTAGAAACTCAAAAATATATATATGCTATAGCATTTAGATGTTAAGATTTTCGAATCCGCCGCTGGAATCAACTGAAGATTTTCTACCTCGTCATACTTATGCTTTTTAATGATTAATATGTTCTCTATTTCTGTTAGGGGGTGTTAGTCAATTGGGACATTTTCATGCAAAATGGGATAATTGTTAAAGTGGAATAATATTTCGCTAGTGGGATATTTTAGTGGGATAACTAGGAACAATTTTGTGAAGCGGGATATTTTGATAAAATAACGTGGGATAAATTTTTATAATCATGAAGTATATATTTATGCATTTTGAAGATATAAATACTATTTACGTATTTTAAACTTACTACTATTAATTGATAATTGCTTATAAGAATGTTCGTTACTATTAAATAACTTTTGGTTAGACTATAAGATATTGACAATTATTATTATGATGATGGTCTAATGATGGTGATAACCATAATAGGAAATAAGTAAAGAAAAAATAAAAAATAATAAAATAAATACGAGTTCTAGTTTTTTACCACATAGTTCCAAGCTAAAACTTGGAATAATTTGAGAGACTAGAACTCTCATTTTTGTATAGAAAAAAAAAGGGATAATTTTGTACAATTATCTCAATTCTAGTTTTGTTAAAGTTCTGCTTGACTAACACTGTAAAATTTTATTCTAGTTTTAGTTCTATATGACTAACACCTTAAAATTTTGTTCTAGGTTTAGTTTTATGTGACTAACACCTTAAAATTTTATCCCACAGATTATTACAGTTCTAATTTTAAGTTCTAGGTGTCTAACCCCCCTAAATTGAACAGTAATTCTCTCTCCTCCCATTCTCGCTCTTCTCACGCCTATATCCCGTATCAGCTCAAACCCCTCTGTCCCTACCAGCCCAAAATTCAAAATTCAAAACACACCCCTCTTCGTCATAAATCCAGGCCCTCCCACGAGACAGCGATCTTTCCCTCTCTGAGATAAATCCAGGCCCTAATCTCTCTCCCATTCCGATGCCAACCCTAGACTCCATCTCCTCTTCTCCAAACCTTCTCATCGCCATTTGCCTCTCAAACTCCAATTCCCTCATGATCTCCTCCTCCATCATTCTATTGTCAGCGATTTGTCTCGCAAGGATCTCCTCTCTCATCCGCTCCCGCCGGAGCTCCTCTATCAGGGCTTCCGCTCTTGACGTCATCACCAGCGGGGCGAAGCCGGAGCTCCAGATGTCGATTCCAGCTGAGATCAGGAACCAAATCAAAGTTTGAAGGAAAAAAGAAATCTAAAATTAGGGTTTTTGTTAGGTACCTCGAAGAGCCTGATCAGTGAAGTACCAGTAGTGGAGGAGTAGCACAAGGTCATGGGCATCATGAACTCGGCTTGCTAAATACTACGTCCCTCTCGAATAATCAGAGAAGCACAAGGTCGAATACGAGGTCTAATCTCTTCCCCTTTGCATAAACCTAGACATTTTCTTTGATTTTTGTTTTAATATTTATCCTTTTTGTTTAATTTGTTAGGTTCATAGGTTGGTGGTCAACAGGGATCATAAGTTCACCAATTTTGCTGAGGTATGTTGCCAAAAGATCGAATCTTTTTCTTGAATTGTTAGGTTTAAGTAAAATTGTTCAATTGTAGATGGTGAGTATAAGTTGACACTTCAGATGTGATTCTTTTTTCATCAAAATTTAAAGGAGAACACTTTTAGAATCATTTTTTTTTCTAACTGTGCTATGATCAGGAGTGTGAAATCAAATTTATAGACAAATTTCGTGGAGTTTGTTCTTTGAGGATGGTTTACGGGAGAAGGAAAAAAAATACCATCTAAAAAAATTTGGTTTCATATGGGTAAGATGACATTGGATGCTATTTACATGCTAAAATAATGTATTGAAATTTCTAGAATCAAATATATTTTCATGTGGTTGTCATTGATTTAGGCCAAAAAATTATTAGGTCCCTAAGAAACTAATTGGTGGATTAGAAAAGAAATAAGCTTCAAGTATTTACATTGATGTGGTTAAGGACATATGTCAGACTAGAAACCATGGTTGAAAATTGCTAAGGGTAACTAAAATAAGAACATACCACATCTTAGACTTCACTGAGGATTACATTAGGTACTTTTACATATGACAGACATATGAGTTTATTAAACTTAAGATATCCAAGGTAAAAGTCTTTTGATGCATATTTTACGAATTTAGGATACTATAAAAGGGATAATTTAGTTGTAGAAAGGCGTTGAGGAGTTCTAGAATCTAAAGGGGTACCAAATAGCAAGATAAAAAGATGTGATGCAACTTTATTAGCATGACCATGTGAAGAACTGATAATGTAGAGCATTACTGGCCTAGAAATCTTGGGAGTAACCATTTTCCTTTGCAAATCTAAATTTGGATCTGAGTAACAATTTTCATTAACATTGAATGGTTTTCATTTAAACTCTATGTGAATACAAATTTATTTTCATTAACTATTGTGCCTTCAATAAATGTATTCTCCTTCCAACTTCCCACCAACATTCACTTTCATTTAAAGTCTCAAATAGAACTATTTTTGGTTAATCCCGTCCTTGAGAAGATCCTTTGCCTAATTTCTTCTTTTTTCCATTGTCAATTTAAAGGTTAGTGCTAATCAAATACAGTTGATTGTTAATCCATGCTTTAGTTCTAATCAATGTCTTATCATGAGGCTAAATTGTGTTAATCAATGCTTTATTGCAATATATTCCTTGCTTTTTTCAAACTTCTCAATGCTTCGTGCACAACAAATCAGGTAAAAAAATGACACTGGCTCTAAATCTTAGCCTCTTTCTGTTATTTTCTATGGGCATTAAACAATTACATGTCAAAGCACTTCTGAAATTGACGTATAGTTCCATTTTTTCTACATTGTATAGTATACATATTGACATCCACTTACAGTTTCACTTAATTTTTATGGAGTTATAGGTTATGAAAGTTGATATAATTAGTTTCTGTACCTATAGAAGCTATATGTTATGCAATTGTTTTCCCTAATTTTCATTTGTTATCGAGTGTTTGATATTTAATAATATTTCATCAAAGGATGCATTGCTTTCTGACATTTTTTTCATTTTATATTTAGTTGACTTATTGCCTTTTTTTTGATCAATTGTAGGTTGAAGATTCCTTGATCCTAACAAAACTCAATTTATCCTCTCTCCCTCTTTAATCTCCTCTCAAGTCTATTGTTCTACTTTATTATCAAATTGTTTTTCCTTATTTGCATTTGTTAACAACTATCAATGTGAGCTTTTTATATATACTTTTTGAAAAAATATATGCATAGTTCAAAGAAATTGATGGTTCATTAACATGTTGCACTTACTTTTATTTTTATTTTGTTCTTTAAAAACAGTTGAACAACACATTCCATTAGTGAGTTATCTATTTAATAAATGATAACACCATCTTCTGCAATTATAGGACTACTTTTTCATATGCAATGTTGAACTAAATTGGCGTTATGTTGGATGTCGAGATTGTGCAAAAAAAAAAACAATCAACTTCAGGACAAGTCTGTTGCAAATCATGTAATAGGGAAGTAGTGGCTCAAATCAGGTACACATTCATATGCATATTTCATAGTCATAATTACAAAGCACATGCAATATTATTTTCAATCATTACCAAGTTTATAATTACATAAATCAGGTACGTACAAAGCTATAAAGTGAAATATAGTTCAGCAATTACGACGTTTCTACAATTTATGCTCTTAAATCGAAAATTATACAATATAGTAATAGGTATCCATCACCTCAGATGCCTTTCATTGTATATTTGAATTTCAAATATTACTATCGTGCCTTCAATCAATGTATTCTCCCTCCAAATTCCCACCAACATACACTTTCATGTAATTTGGCTCAAATAGAATTATTTTTTTGAAATCCCGTCCTTCAAAAGATAATTTTCCTTATTTCTTCTTTTTCCATTGTCAATTTAAAGATTAGTGCTAATCAAATACAATTGATTGTTAATTCATGCTTTAGTTCTAAATGTGGTGTTTTATCATGAGGCTAAATTATGTTAATCAATGCTTTATTGCAATATATTCCTTGCTTTTTTCCAACTTCACAATGCTTTGCACACTACAAATCAGGTAAAAAATGGCACTGACTCTAAATCTTAGCCTCTTTCTG